TGAGTTTTAATGACTGCACTTGTCTGTTATTCCAGCTTTCAACAAAGGCTTTGACTTCACCTCCACCCTGGTTCCACTTTCACCTTCAGCTCCCTCCCTGCTGCCTCCTGCTGCTCCTCTCTCACTGAGGACTGAGACTGTGAAGAGTCAGAATCTGGCTCTGGGACTGACAGGGTGAGTTGGTTTAGATCTCTACATCCTGACATCACACTGACACTCCTTCACTACAGCTGCAGCAGTGTAACAGTCTAGATCTCTTCATACTTTCCTTTACTTCTTCCTCTGCTACTACTGTTCCTGATCTTTTCAAATAAAGGCAGATAATTTACAGTGATCTCTGACCACCACAGGAATCCTGAGTGTCTTCAGCTCTTCCTCTGAGTTTAGATGCTGATGGCATGTCCACTCCCTAAGCCCACTACTAACCCCACTCCTCACTCTTCTACATGTGATCAACATCCTACCTCGGAGGAGGAGCTGAAGACACTCGGGATTCATGTGATGGTCAGAGAACACTGTGAATTATCAGCCTTTATTTGAAAAGATCAAGAACATTAGTAGCAGAGGAAGAAGTGAAGGAAAGTATGAAGAGATTTAGACTGCGACACTGCTACAGCTGTAGTGAAGGAGTGTCAGTGTGATGTCAGGGTACAGAGATCAAAAGTGTGAGGAAGTGTTCTGGCACAGCCTGACCTATTTTAATGAGTTTACTTCTCTATTTCCAGCTTTCAACAAAGTAACAGAATTCAGGCCAGCCTGGTTCCAGTCTATCAACATGTGATGAATAAACACCTTCAGCTTCCTTCCTGCTGCTCCTCTCTCACTGAGGACTGAGACTGTGAAGAGTCAGAATCTGCGTCTGTGATGGACAGAGTGAGTTGGTTTAGATCTCTACACCCTGACATCACACTGACACTCCTTCACTACAGCTGCAGCACTGAAGTCCCTGGTGTCGATCTCCTGGAAATCTCACATGTACAGCTCCTCTCTCCTAGTCTGTAATTGTCTAGAGTTCCATCATCTGTCGCTGCTTTACCTGTATCTCTGTCACCACTAGTCTCCTGTTGCTACATTAGTTTCTCTCCCACTGCTTAGTAGTCTGCACTCTGCTTCAGGAGTGGACAGTGACTGGGGAATAAGACTCTCTGCCTGTCCTCATCTCTCTCTGTCTCGTCTAAATCTCCACCAGTGAGTGTCTGCTCCTCTCTCCTGTATCTGTCCTTCCTGTTGGTGTTGATCTAGAGCTCTGCCTGGATATGCTGACTTGTGCTCTGCTGTGTCTCTTCAGAACTGACTGCATCTCCCCCTGCCCTCTCTCTGCACTGTCCTGCCTCTCTCCTTCTCTGCCTGCTGCTCTGTGTGTGAAGTGTGTTACTGGCACCCCAGCTCTGCCTTTTACACACACTATTCAAGGTTTGCTCTTCAGGGTTCAAGTATATTTATGTTAAGTGTTTATTTATCACAGGTTGACAGACTGGAACCAGGCTGGAGTGAATTCAAAAGCTTTGTTGAAAACTGAAAAAAGACTCATATCCCCCAAGTCCCCAGGTGAGCTCTGCACAATTTCTCCTACAGCAGCTTCTCCCAATAACACCTCTGCAACTCCACAGTTAGAAATAAATCTCATGCTTGTCACTTTGTTGAACTATGAGCTATATTGCACTTTACAGGTATGTGATCTTTATTGTACACTGTCTGAATGCTCAGGTAATAACTCCTCAGTGTGTTTCTGCTCAAAATATTCTTCTGCCACACAGGGCACCTCTTTCTATCTCAGTGTATTATTTTACAGTAATCTGAGCTTCAGCACAGCCTCCCACTGACACTCATTCAGATTGGAAATGCTGTCTAGAGTGAAACAGTCTAGATCCCTTTATACTTATTACTCTGCCACTAATGTTCCAGATCAGTTCCAATTAAAGGCTGATTAATTCACAGTGATCTCTGACCATCACAGGAATCCTGAGTGTCTTCAGCTCCTCCTCTGAGTTCAGATGCTGATGGCATGTCCACTCCCTAACCCCACTACTAACCCCACTCCTCACTCTTCTACATGTGATCAACATCCCAGCTCAGAGGAGGAGCTGAAGACAGTACAGCCCCTGTCCTAGTCCAGCAGTGTTGAGATATGATTTGTATTTATTACCAAGATACTGTGGCCACATTCTTCACTGGGGAGAATTGTCATCTTGATCAATTTTGAACCTAATTCTGTTCAAAAAAAGTTAAAGAGCTCTGATTTCAATTAATTTTGTCCAGAATTATGAAATACTTTTTGGTTGCTCTCATTGAATACTT